TAGTCACACACCTACAAGTGGGCGACATTCACACACTTGCGTTTCCAGTGCAACCGTCAGGCTCCACCGGCCCCACCCGCGATCAGAAGAGTCAACTGCATGGGGCGGGCTGGGCTGGGCTCCTTCCAGAATGGACAAGCTGTGTAACGCGACGCAACGGGCGCGGAGCGGCGGGCAGCGGGCGTAGGGGAAGGCGAGGGTTCGCAGCAGGAGCCTGCCGTGGCGTGCCGTGGTCAGGGGCGGCCCGCCCGCTCGTCGCTTTGTTTGCGCAGACTGAATGGCGGTCCCTGCGGCTGCTGTGGACTAAAGTCCTGTGGACTAAAGGCCTGTGGACAATAAGGCCCCTCGGATGCCCGGCCCGGGGCCCGCCCGGCCCCACGAGGACCCGACACTGGTGCCTCCCGGACGTGTCGCGGCCGGGGCGATCCAGCCCGCGGCCTTATCGGCGGCTGTCCAGCGGGCGCCCGCCACCCTCCCCATCGCCGTGCCTCTCGCTCGCGCTGTCTCTCTCGCCTGCGCTGTCTCTCTCGCTCGCGCTGTCTCTCTCGCTCGCGCTGTCACTCTCGCTCGCCCGCAGAGCGGCGCGCGCGCTAGCCGGGCCAGCCGGCCTTTCAGCCTGGCGGAGCGCGGTAGGCAACCGGCGGGCTCGCGCGTCAGGCGGGCCTGCCTCCCTGGCGCTCCACGGGGCTCTGTCCCCAGCGCTGTCCCCAGCCGCGCGCGCAGCCATACAGTGCTCCTTGCTCCCCGCCACCCACACCCTGCTCCCCACTCCCAGCAGCACCACTCCTACCCTACTCCTTGCTCCTCCCCGCTCCTACAGTCCCATACTCTACCCGCTCCCTCAGCCCCCCGCCCCACGCCGCCTCACACACCAATCCTCTTCATTCCATCTCGTCCACTTTGAATGTGAAATGCAACCCTACACCCCCCTTTGTCGCCCCCGCCCGCTCCTGCCTCTCCCGCTCTTTTGTTCTGGAGCTCTCTCCCTCTCGCTCTCCCCACCACACACGCCGCATGCGGTGCAAATGGACACATTTTCGGTGCACAGCATCCCCCCCGGTATCTCGGCGCTGCGGTCAGAGAGAGACAGGCAGAGAAGGGAGGGGGCCTGGCTGGCTGGTTATCTTGCGGGGGGGATTACGTCGAACGTTTCATTAGCGAGGCCTCGACAATAGACCGGCCGAGCCATGAAAATTTCATGTAGCCTCGCCGCCCCGCCCCACCACGCCCCGCCACACCC